CGATTCCTGACAGAGGTAGATTTTTCAATCAATACATTAAGTGTTGCCAAAGTTTCGTTCAATGCTCAAGTTCAAATTGCAGTATCAAAACAGGATCTAGTGCAACATATCCTGCTTGTGAGCCATCTTGCTGAAAAATTGCAAGATTAGATGAAGTTCCTAGTCCATCTATATCTATAGGCACACATAATCTAGAATGCTTAAGATCCTTTCCTTTTCTGCTACTTAAATAACAACTCTGTCTTTTCTTCATCAAAAATATAAGCAACCCCCAAACAATAGCTACAACAATGATCTAAAAATTCAATCAAAAAAAATTATTTTACCATCGGTACCTTGACATTGCGATGCCTCAATTCACATGCAAATAAATTTTTTCTGCAATTTCATCATTCTGATCTATTTTTTGCGCTGATTATAGCTCTACAATTTTTGAGAAATCACATGCTATGCAATATTGTATTACAATGTATAGGATTACATACAATTTATTCTTATTAAAAATTTGTAACTGACCCAACGACGATTTGTCAATGATCTAAGCAATTTTTAAGCTTTTAGAATGTCATGATGTGTCTAACGAAGCTAATTAGCTTAAAAGACAATTTTTTCATTGAAAAGATCAGATTTCATTGCATAACTGGGATGACTATTTGGTTGAAATTTAGAGGATGACAGGTGGAGGGGGGCTATACAGCATTAAAGATAGGTGTCAATTTAGGATAAATGATGTCTTTTCTTTAAAAAAAACTTGGGAAATAGTCATAGCCACCCCTTCACCAGCAATTTAAATAAAATTTCCCACTAAGCCTCAAATTGCACAACCAAGTCGAATAGTTTTTCAGCATAATTTTACTTTAAAGTACTCATAAGTACACGTGCAGGTATTTTACCACATTTCTCAAGTACAATAGCATAAGGAAGCCATAGGGAATGAAAGAGAAGAGGAAAAATAAATTATTGCACATTTAAGAGCTCGTGCAATGCTCTTGCTTCATTATCAATTCTCTCCATGCTTTTATAATAATAGAACTTTCTATTCTCTTTTTTATTGCTTATAACAGTGTTGTCCAAACTTTGTGAGCTACGGCCTAGGGGTAGGCGATGACACAAGCTTCACCTGTCATGCAGCTCGTGGCATTTTCAAAAAACACTATGGTACACTTGTGTGCCACAGCACACAGTTTGGACAACACTGGCTTATAATGATGATTTAGCTTTATCGTGATCAGTGACTATTAAAATAAATTATTTGAGAAAGAAAGGAGAACCAAAAAACAAAAATCTGTTCTAATCGCGAATGGGTCGTTTGGATGCTTTTGAAGAAGGCTATTTGAGATTTTATGGTTAGATTTATTTTTGGGTTAATTATTGCCTATAAAGATATGCAAATCGTCATTGATTGAGATGTTTTGGGTGACGTAAAAGAATTATTGCAGTTTCCACTGACCGATTTGGACTGAGGAACACTGATTTTGAGTAAACTCCGGCCACATTAAGACTAGGCAGGCTATAGTTTGAGCAACTTTTAGTTTAAGACATTTAAAGTTGTGTGAAACTTTATTCAATTTTTTGAGGGGGTGGGGTGGACGGTTGCACAGCTTAATTACTTTCTGACAGATGCTAGTATTTTCTCTTCATTATTTTAAATTCCTCATAATATTTTACGTTCAGGATACATCATCCCCTAGTTTTCAAAAATATCACGCAAAACACTCGTGATCTATCGCATTAAAACTCAATAATCCCAATAAGCTTCCTCATCATGCCTCTTATTACTTTCCAAATTAATAACAGCAATAAAAAATTTAATTGTTTGTGTATCAAATTCAAATTCAATTGTGAAAGGACTTTTAAGAGCCCTCACATTGGCAATATCAATTATGAAAAAAAAGAGAAGTTGTTTCGATTTCCATCTCAGCTATTGATATTTATTTATAGAATTAAAAATCGTTTAAAAAAATGGTGAATGGAAAATTACCAAGATTTTTTGTTTTTGAGGAAAAAGCATGTTTTAATGATGTTATGGATTATTCGCGGGAAGTTAACTGAGTGGAAGCTGTTAATGATTAATGATCTCAATAAAAACAAAGTTTGCTTAATGTAAAGAGAGTAAATTAGTGTGAATTAGGAGCAAATAGAAAGTATTTGGATTTTGAGGTTATGTTGATTTTGTAACCATAGGATGACGTCGGAGTTGACGCATATTGCAGATTGAGGTTGATGGTCACCTGCAGAGATACGAGTGTCAATTGTATTAATGAGTTTTGTGCATATAATGTATAGACATTGGAGATTAGATGGTTGATTATCAGGAAATGAAGGCTTCTGGTAAGTTGTGGTCATTTAAGCATTATTTGCAATTTTTAAAGAGTGAGAGTCGGGACATAGCTTGGTTATGTATTCTGTTGAAATTTCTGAAATGAGAGGGAGGTATGGTGTTGTAGATTTAAATGAAAAATTAGTTTGTGGTGGAAATCGAACCTTCGAAGTCAAGCAAGACTTTTAAAATCCAGCCCAGCTTTTCAGGGGGAGGAAATGCTACTCTTAAACAAAGACCTTACTTCTTAATTACTGTGGATTCTCCTTCATATGACTCAATTCCTCAGACAGCACTTTTTGTTCTTGAATCTCGTCAAAATCCAAAGCAACAGCTTCAAATCCTCACAAACTAATCCATCCGTTGACCGATCAGCTTTAAAAATATCTAAAATAAAAAATCTCTTATATAACAAACACCCACAACCAAAACATCTCGTGAACACATTAACAATGTGGACTTTAAACCGAAAAACATTGGAGGTTCAAGGCGCAGTTTGTCGATCTCATGGCATGCCACATAATGAAAGCATGATAATAAATCACCGAAAATAAAGCGTAGAAAAAGAAAATATTTGTGAAAAAAAAAATTCGTGACTATCCTCACAGAATCTTTATTCACACTTTTGATACATTTACGCACTGTGCCAAGTTTTACCCGACAAATGACAAACACGAAACAAGAAATCTTCTTGGTCCTTGAAATATTTTTGGCTATTTTCTCTTTCATCGTTGACTCGAGATTGTCAGCCGACCAGTCGTTAAACAAATCTTTTTATTCTATTTTCATGCCAAATGTGAAGAAATAAAATCGGCTGCGTCATCGAATGAGATCAACAGCCTAGATATTTATGTGATTTTCGGTAATAATAGATCAACATTAAGTTAAAGAGCCAAAAAAGTAAAGTTTGTTTATAGTTTGGGTGCTAATGTTTTGGGTTTATTTTGTTGAACATTTTTGAATGTTTATAAACAGTTTCTAGCTTTTATTAGGTGGGAATGTAGGAAGTTGATGGTAAATGATGAGCAATGTAAGATTTGTAAAAGTAAAAAGAAGAATTTAATCCAAAATGCGATCAGTCCACAGAACCTTCACTTCTGCATCCGTACTTGGAATGACATCAATTTCCACACACAAAGAGATCCAAAATTAATTTCACTGCCGACACATGAAATCAATTTGTAATTATCGCATCAAGTAAACCCGATGAAAAGACATAAAAATGTGCAAAAAATGAACAGCCAACTGAACGAAGACAATCATTCATTTTCTGACATGTCGTAAGTGCGAATATCTTTATAAATATGTCGTACGACCAGTCGCGCAAAAAACGATAAATACATGTCAGAAGTGTCAAATACGTAATCATATAGTCCAATTTACATTCTTAAAATAGTTTGAAGACAATTTATGGCACAGAAGATTTTCATTGTCAAGTTTATGTTATGGTTTGGGGATATGGGGTTGTAATTTGGATGGCTGACTTAGTTGAAAGCTACGAATAAGTTTTAGAGAACGGCATGGATTATGAAGATTGTGAAAATTCTTTTAAAGCTCTAAATAAAGTTTTTGAATTTTTACAAACTTTAGATATCAAACATTGCCAAACTTTCTTTATCTTAGGTAATTTATTGCGAAAGTCTTTAAAATGGTTCAGAATTGTTTCATAGTTAAGTCTGATTCCTGACAGTCTATCACGTGACATAATTTTATAATCGAAGATTTGTGCCAAGAAAACATTTAAAAAAGACGATTTGATCATTTTTGTGAATTAAACGTTTCATTCAACCACTATTAATGCAAAAGTTTCTTTCTGCTTGCTTCCAAAAATCTGAAATTTTATTGTAAATTAGTGACATACCGAAGAATTTGCATATAAACTTACGTGGTAAGAGAAAGGGAACAATTTATTTAGGGAACACTAGATTAATGATGCAACCATTTCTTAATTCAACTGAACCCCTTGTGAGAGTCAAACGGCTTGTTTTGTCTACTCTGTAATCACTCATATTTAATACTCCTGTTTGTAAATAACTACATTAATAGATATGACTACACGATTAAGCCAAAGATCCTATCTTCAAAGTTATATTGAAATTCATTATTACAGATTGAAATATAAGATCAGAGTTGAAGTTGAGAGTTGATTCATAGCTTTTGACTGAAAATCGAATAATTTCTATTCAAAATGAAACACAAAATTTTTGGTCAAAATAAAGTCCTGCCAAAGAGTGCGTAGTCAAATAGTTTTATAGAACAGAAATTGTATTTGAAATTTTACGAAAAAAAAGTCACATAACTTATGAATGCCTTCTATTAAACATTCTCATAATAAGATTGTAATTCAAAACAATCAACAACAATATTTGGCATCAAATTAATAAACAATTATTAGGTTCCTTTCCGTATAAGCCGTAATCTGATACTCATTGCAAATAAAGGCAAGTCACAAGACTGCACTTAGCGATTAAAATGAAAAAAAAAAATATTTGTTTTTGTCATTTGATCTCAGTTTCATGACATTTCAACTTGTTTTTCTTAAAACTCTCTTTACTTCCCATCTCTGCCGCGTACGTCACACATGAAAAATATTTTTTTTTTCTTCCTCAATTCAATATTTTATTGATCCTTTACGTATGTACACTAATGTTTTATTTTTATTGTCTTTAAACACAAATAGATTCACAACGTCCCGCTTATATTGCCGATAGCCGATCATCAACAAACGTAAATAGAAGAGAAAGAAAAACACTTTTTTTTCCTCTCAAACGTTCGGAAGCAACAGCAGCAGCAAAAAATTTTAAATATAAAAAAATTCGCTGTATATTTTTTTTCGTTATTGCTACGCTTTCCTATTTCCCGCTCAGTCAATAATCGGACGTCAAGCGACAACAATTGGACAACAACAAGGAATATATTTTCTTGAATATATAAACAGCTTGCCATTCGCACTACAGCTTTCAATAATCAATTGAATTTCAATCGTGAACACAGAAGATAAAGCTCCGACTGCTTTAAAAAAGAAAAATGTCAAGAATGAATGGACATCATCATGAAGAAGTGGAAGACAAACTTGTCGAAGTTCCACAGTATAGCTTGATTAAGTTGCGCAATATGTTTAAGGCTAATTGGCCGAAAAACATAACTGCTTATTACTTGATTGAGAATTATATGGAATGGCTCGAGAAGGTCAACAATATCAAGAACTTGAAGATCTATTGCCTTAATGGCGAATGGAGAAAGGATGGAACATTTGTTATCATTGTAAGTTTAGTGATTGTCATTTATTTTTATTTGAGAAAATGTGTGGATTATTTTTTTGGATGCTGATGTGATAAGTGGTCTTTTATTGTCTCAATTTAGAGATTATGGTTAGATTGAGATATTTGATATACTCATTAATTTTTTAAATTGACTAAGCAAATGAGCTGAGAATTCAAGTTTGAAATTTATGATGCCTAAGATGAGTTATCGAGTCATGTTAAAGTGAATTTGCTGGCACATGATTAAGCTACTTTCGCCAGTTGATTGAACAACAATTTCTGATGATCTTTGCAACTTGAGCATGATTTTGATTCCTACCAGAAACTGAGTTTAGAACAGCATATCTAAGATTTAACTGCATAGCTGTGAAGATTAAATTTAAAGATAGGTTGTCGGATCCAAAAAAAACGCCAAAAATCAGACTGACAGGAGTAATTGTTATTGCCTGCTGGAAGTACGTTGCCAACTTGTTATTCTGTAAATTCAAAAATTTACACTCAGAAGTGTTTTCAAGAAAGAGTTAATTCCAAAAATCTACTTTTGGCCGGAAACTTCTTCAATTTTGAATTTTTGTTTGAAAATAATTCCAAAATCTAGCTACAAAACATAAAATTGATAATCTAGGTTTCAAAACTTTTCTAAATCTCTACTTCCAAACATAAAATTCAAAGAATTCGTAATATGTAGTTTCAGTTCTTTTTCAAGTCAAATCATCTTTTTCCACAAATATGATCAAGTTTTAATCTCTGAAAAATCAAAAGAAAATCAAATATTGTGAAATTTCTAATCAATCATCCTTATATCTGGTCACACTTACTAATTTATTTTAAATTATCTCAAAATAAACTTATAAATGAACTTGATCTGTCACCACAAATCAACTGATACTAATCATTTAATTTCACCAAAGAACTCAAATTTTCCGTCAACAAAAATACCTTTTTTTTTGTCTCGTCACAAAATATTTAAATATTGACTCACTAGTCACGTTATTAACAGATATCACGTCATGTCACGATGTTCTAAATTTATTTAACTTTTCGATTAGATCTTAACCACATCGATCTAGTGAAATACAGTTAAATACTACTTAAAGAATTGAACACATTGCACGATATAGATATTTTTGTATTACATTTATTTTTAATGCATTGGGATTAGAAATTTAATTCCCAGAATGAAAATCTTTTACGTCTTATTGCTAGAAGCTTTGAAAGCTTTTCTTGAGGAATTTCTTTAAGTTTGTAATACTATTAGGAATTGTTAAAGTTTTTTTTTTTTTGAATAATTTGAAAATCTCTTAAAAAAAGTTTGATCTTAAAATCAATTTTTGGATATTTAAATTTTTTAAAAATTATTTTTCAATTTTTTAAATATATTATTTTAAATTTATTCGGAATAATGACTCCAAATGGCCAAAACAAAATTTATGATATTATGCTGAATAAGAGCCTTAAAAAATTCATTTTTAATTAAAAATATCATATTTCAACACAAGATAAGCTTTAAGACCCAGAAATCAGAGCTTTAAGCTATGCTATTATGTTTACAATCATGTATGTTTTCAAGGTCAAAGCTTGCAAATACGCAAAAAAACAAACGTAAACAAAATCCTATCAGAACAGAAAGCTGCTTTGAGCTAATAAACATGAATGTAGGCAGATATAGACACAGTCAAGCAGGGGCAGACGAAGAAAACCAGCAGTTATACTTTTAAGGACAACATCAAATAATTATTAATCTTTGTTAAAGCTACATGACTCATCTCCTCCCTAACTTCACCCCTTCTATCATACCAAACATTTGCTGAAGTTCTCAGTGCTGTTTTGGATGCTTTAATTTATTTACGACTCATTTTTTGAAGGATGAAAATTTTTCAATCACAATTTCGGCGCCAATTATCCGTTAAGTGTGCATAATTGACTTTGAGTGTGGTGCTCATTGAGGTATAGAAACGAAAATAGTCAAAAAGAAAATCATGGATGACAGCATTTGCTATCAACAGCTCAAATGAGTGTCTGTGGTGCCATTTTTAGACACATAAGGCTCTTAATTTAGTCACTAAAGTACCTTTCTGAGTCATTATGATCACTTATTCATTTGGTGATGCTTTCAAGTCATAAAAGCTCTCGAATGAACCAAAGAACGTTCAAAAAATACTTTTAAATAAAACAACTATAAATAAACATTGTACGACCAAAACACGACATCCAAAATTAGCCACAGAATTAAAATAAATTAAATTCCATTTCCACTAATCCATTCGAAATTGAAATTTTTCAGGATCGCTATCGCTTATTTATGTATACACTCGATGAAAGCAATAAGAAATTGAAGCGCATTCTTAATTTATTGGATTGGAGCAAAGGTTTTGATGTCTCGTCTGTTTGTCAGCGCCATTTAACTGCTGTTTTGCAAGTCATGGAGAAGAAGCGATTGCCAATTGAGAAGTCATTCATGTTGAATTTCCATTATTTGCCGAAGGAAGAAGCTTTGAAGTTCGATACAGCGTAAGTAGATTATTATTCATATTGGGGTTACGTAAGGGGGTTGTCCTGTCAGAAGTAGGGAAGGGATTTAAATTAGGAGCCATTCAAAAATGACGTCTGTCCAAAAAAATAGCTTTATTCTGAGTCATTCACTTAAAATGACCATATGTGAAGTATCAAATGGATTTAAAAGTCTCCTCCCCGTTATCTTTATAATTGGACGTCATTTATGAACAGCCATTCATCGATCGCAACAAAAGACAAACTTCCAATAACAGAATATCCAAAAGAAATTTATAATTCAACATGATAATACCGAAATCATATCGTATAATTACAGATCACCTGAGGGAATCTATTTAAAGCAATTGGTACCCGCCGATGGTCAGAAAATTAATGATTTATGGCCACATGCACACAATGGATCCTTATACTTTATTCAAAGGTTGATCGAAATGAATTTAAATATTGGTGCTTTCACAAAGGAAGAAGACGAATTGATTGCATGGTGCTTAAGGTATGAGAAACATAAATATTGTATTTATAGATTAATAACTGTCAATATTGTACTTCCAATAGAATCGAAATGGGAAGCTTCGGCAGTCTTCAGGTTGACGAACGTTTCCAACGTCGCGGTCTTGGTTCATTGATGGTTAAGCTCATGTCACGACGTTTAGCAGAACAATCAAAAGACATAACAGCCGGAATTGTCGATTCCAACTACAAGTCACGGCAAATGTTCCAGAAATTGGGATTCAAACACATTGATGATACTCACTGGTTCACAATCGCCCCAACAATTCCACATTATCGATGGGTCGATTAACTTTGCTAAACATTTGCGGAACTCTCTTTCCTTTCATCTATATTTGAGGCTTTTCTTTTTCTTATAGTTTTTAACAAACCTCTTTATATTAGTGATAATTTGAATCAGTTCTTTTAGATCAAATTTTATTGTATTTTTATTAATTTATTTAAAGAGAAAAAGATTATTATTAGGCTGTAAGATACACACACACACACATACACACAAAACTTTATCGTCAAAAATTCATGGAGATTCATAAGCTAGCGAGTGTGATTTTTTGAGATGCAAGATGTAATTCAGAGGGAATTTAACTTCTAAAATGAACTATATAAAATTTATTGTCTAGATGATTCAATGGTAGAATTAATGTCGAACTAATTTTTTTAGTGTAATTTTGTAAAAGTTTCAGTAGTTTGAGGATATTCCTTTTTAACTATTGAATAATTACATGATAAACAACAAAATACACATAAATAAGCGGTAAATTAATATATAAAAAAATTGTTAAAAAAAAGTCTTTAATGTGAACAAAAAAAAAGTTTTTTCCCGCCAAAAAATATTAAATTTCAAAATATTTAAATTCAAAGACAATTTCTACCATTTTTAAAAGATTAATCTAGTATTACATTTGTGAGTTTAAATCGAGATATCTTTCTATAAAAAGTACATTTTCCATTTTAAATTTCATAATTGAATCAAAACCGATTTAATCATGCATTTTTGACGAATCATTTTGTGCTTAAAATTGAGAATTAATGACTTAATATAATAATTAGTAACTAAAGATTTTTGTCTTTTTGAAGACTTATATAGATGATATGATATGAATATATGCGAGTTGTACACTAAAATCAATAAAAAGGCAGTTCAGGGCGATGCAACGATGCCTAAATTGTGAAATTTACGGTGTCGGAGACTGATTTGGAACCTTTTAAAGAACGAAACTGTGGTTCGAAGTTGGATGGCTTCAGTAATCAGGAAATTGAAGAGCCAGTTTTAAGGTAGCTTACAGCAGAGCTTTATTCATAAAGCCTAGCTTGAAGCTAACCTAAAACTAGCTTTTTAACAGTCTAGTTGCTAGGATGGCATTAGGTTTCGCTTCGAAGTGCTTTATATATATAGTGATGCATGATTTTGAAGCTATTTAATCATCTGATTGGTGAAATTTGCCAATGAAATGAAAAATGGCGCCAAAATTGGAAGTGTACTCCTCGAGATTGAGTGTAGTTATGTTCTATGCAACTATGGTAAGCTTCTCAATGAAGCTTCTACTTCAATGACGAGTAGTTTAATTCAATTATGTATTACAACTGATGGCAAACGTGAAAGAATTATAGGATTCACTTCCTATATAATTATTTCTAATTTTGTCACGAAAATAGAAACGCAAATACGGAAATATATGAAGAATTCTTGCCTAATGAGCTTAAAACGAGCCTTAAGCAGCTATTCAGATTATAATGGGAATCCTTACAACTGAATTGGCCTTGAATTGTTTCCTATTTACACCTTTACGTCAAGCAATGAGCAACACTGTAAGTGGTATAGAGCATAACAACATTCAAATAACATTTTAATAATACAGTAGTTTGCACCGTACTGTGAACTTTATAATTATACCTTTTACCTTAAATTTTTTTAGGGACATATTTTGATAGAAGAAAAATTTTATTATTGAATATTTTAGACTAGAAAAGAAAAAAAAAACTTATTTTTATTATTCTTAATTTAATGAAAAAACATAAACAAAAGTGTTAACAAATTTATTAAAATTATAAGTAATTTGCTCAACCTCTTTTTGGTTCAATCCTTTAATAAATTTTAAATTTTGATTTATAATTTTCAAAATTCTAAGAAAAACAAAGTTGGAAAAAAAAAATTTATTGCATCTGAATTTGAAAACCAGATTTAGAAATATCTAGAAAAATGAAAGATGCACACCTAGCGCACCAAAATTATATTTCCCCATAAATCAATGTCTTTTTAAAAAAAAGAGTGCTATGAAATTGTCTTAAAATTACACACACAAAAAAAAGTTTCATAATTAATTAGATTATATCACAGAGTGGCACTTTGTCGCTGTTATTCGTATTAATCAAGAAAAAAAAATTAATTAAAGAATATAGTGATGAATATGATAATGAAAAGTTTTTTTTCTTTTGAGATTTTTTTTTATTAATCGAGCTTGTTTCTTGAGTTGGGAAGAGACTCATTTGATTGGATGATGATATTTACAGGGAATTTTAATAATTCTAACCTAAAGTATTAGACAACTTAATTGAGGGTCTACCAAATGCCATCAGCCAATTTACATAATTATGGTACGACCCTTTCTAATTTTGTCAATTTAAAGCCTTCAATTATTCCCAGCCAAACTGTTTCAAACCATTTCTATCGTTTATCTAACTCAGTGTTTCTCAAACTTTGATCTACGGAGCAACAATGTTCCACAAGTCATCCTAGATGTAGCAGCTAAATGAATAATTTACTGCCCTGCACTCTGAGAAGTTTAAGAAACACTGAAAACAATCCTAACCTCGAAAATCATCCATTAAAATGAGTAATACCGAGCGACATACAGCTGCTCGGATTCCCATCTCAATAAAATGTCGAGAGCTGTCGCGGTCATTCGCATATCATCATATAATCAAAAAACATTCGAGACAAATTTTATTTGTTGTAATCTGCGATATTTTCTTATTCACGGGAAATCCGAATAAAGATCGAACAGCTCTTCGACACGTCGATGTGTATTTTTATTTTATTATTTGAGAAAAAAAATATATATGAAAAAGTAAAAGAAAATCACACGAAAGACTTTGTGCTCTCGCCTTATTCCGTTTGCGAAGTATCTGTCTGTGAATTAGTCTAGAAAAAAGTAATTTAATTCTTTATTCTTTTCTTTCTTTCTTAGTCAACTACCTCTTGATTTATACATTATGAGAGAGTGATTGTTGAATATTTACATATTTCTTATGATTAATCTTGTTATTCAGTCTTATAAATTCATTATGATTGATTACATTCGGAAAAAAAATCTTGATTTGTTGTTGATTAATGATTTTAATGATAATTTTCAATTGTTATAAATTAGTTTTAGTGGACAAATCATGTAAACGATTTAGTGATTGCTGCTATGGAACCAAAATTATTGTCTACTTGAAGTTCTATGGAATATTAAATAATTTAATCGAAAAATTACCTTAAAAATATGAATATTCTAATTCTTGAATGAATTGAGCTCGTTTAAATGAAAATGTTTTAAATTTATTTGTTTACTAAGCACTTAGGTTGATCTGCAGGAGGTTCAAGTTTGTCAAACGATATCAAATATTTTAAATATTGATTAGTTGTTGACTAGAAATGGATTTAGGAATTTTCATTCATACGAGCTTAATTTTTTTATTGCACTTAGTAATTTGAAGTATAGAATTGTAAGTTGAGCACTATTTAATAGCTTCTTTTAATTAGATTTGCAAATAAAATTAGTTTTAAATTAAATATCAACAATCAAGGGTGTCAAACTACGAAAAAAAACCTTTTCACACCCCAAATTCAAACTTCAAAAAGTCCATTAAATTTCAAATATTAGCTTTTTCAAGTGTGTTGGCTTTTAATTGTGCTTAAGTCACAAATATTGTAATGGAAAGTTCGTCGAAAATATTCAAAATAAAATGAGAAAAATGTTTCAAAAATTTGTCCACTAATCCTTAAACAAACAAGACTTCCCAAAATTTAAAAAAATGAAAGTTTTTAAAAATCAAAAAATTTACAATTCAAATTTCATTTAATATTTATAAAAATTTAAATAAAACATAAAATTCAAATAAAAGATCCAAAAAAATGATAATAGATTTCAATAGATGTTGGAAATCCTCAAAAAAAAAAATAAATAATGACATAAGAAATTTAATCTCCCACAAAAAAATATAAAAAAAAAGTTCTATCCGCAGAAATGTCATGTATAAAATATTAATTATTTTAAAAATAATTGATGTTTTTTGAGGAACGAAAATATTTTTGCATTTGATGAACGATAAGCTACTGACGACTCTTTTTTTTATATTCTGTTTCTTGTGATTGTACAAATGATGCTGATGATGATGAATTAATGTGAATGCTAGGTATCAAAGGTTATTAGAGCTCTGTGACTTCAATTAGACACCGTACAACCCTCGACAGCTGGCGTATTAAGTATCAGATTCAGATGTAGGCAGACCAATTTTGTGTCAATCAAAAGATTAATTAGTAATTTACCAGCAATAATGACCTTTGAATTCACCTAGAGCTATGAATTATAATGAAATATGAATTAAAACTTTTAAATCTTTATTATTTTTTAATGTCAAAGAAAAGAGGAAAAAAGTTTTGAAAAAAAAAATATTTCTGTCAAATTTTGATGAAAAAAAAAATCAAAATGTTATTAACAATATTACTTATATATTAGAAGATTGCAAAATATTTAGCAAGTGGGTTGGATGATTGAAAACAAAACTATTAATTGCAAAATAAGGAAAAGAAAAAAAAAGTAATTAAAAAATTTCTGTTGGAAAAACTAAAAAATAAACTTTTTCAATTTATTATTTTGGAGTATTTTCAGGTTGTCTAGCTTTACAGAGGCAATAATAGCTTAGTAAGTGAACAACATGTGAATTGTTTTAATTTAAAATGACCTTTAAAGGCTGAAAATTGCAATTTAATCACGCTTTGTTCGTTCACGTGCTGTTGATTTTTTATCAGCAGTTGATATTGTTCCTTGAATGAGGTTTTGATGTTTTTTTCTTATTATCGATTGAGAGTTGATGAATCATTGTTTGATGAGACAGCTACAGAATTTGTTGATTGATTTATGAGATTTATTAATTGTAAAATTCGTTAAGGTTTTGCTGCAAGTTTGTTCAGTTTTAAAATTTAACAGTTTGTCAATTATTTAACTACTCAACCTAATGAACAAAGAATTGGATTCAAGCATGATTAAGGTATGTCAAGCTCAGATCTAGAATTTTGTGGACTTGGGTTAGGCACCTTGTAATACAGACTATTTTGGAATGATGGCTTGATACATCTAATAAGATCGTACTGATCAAGTCAGAGGATATAGCTTTTTTGATGGATATTTGTGACTGTCGCTGATTTTTAATTTAATTTATTCATCTTAAATTGTGCAACAGTTTTACTAAACCTTTAAGCGCTCCCATTTTATTCTTAATATTAACAATTCTTAAATCTATATTATGTACGCTAGCTCAGTGTGTAGCGAATAGTCTTCACTAAGCAGTTGTATGTCCAGCAACCAATTAAAAACCGTTTTTAGATTTAGAACTAGTGTTCATGTCGGCTCTCGTTCCAATTCTCAGTAGATTACAATGTCTCAGGTCCGATCCAGTAAAAGCCCTCTAGGCACTATGGGTCAAAATTGAAAAAAGAGGGACTTTCACTTTGATTTTGGGAATTTTTCGAATTACGTTCTCAAGTACTAGCTAGGGTGAATTTACGAATCTCGTATCTTTCTCATTCTGCATACAAAATTCTTGACCAGTTCCTACATCTCACATCACATAATTCTTAGTTTAATGTCTTAAACTGCTGCACCTAAGAAGCCAAAGTATAGATACATCTGAAAAATCACTAGGTTGATGGTGGGATTCGAATCCAGCAGTACAAATTTAACACAAACTTTTGTGAACTGCACCTTGCCATCTGAGCTATCGATAGGGTGACCATCTGCGTAGTTTTTCAACGGACAGTCCTGTATTTTTCAAGACTGTCCTATATAAATTTTTAAATTTTGTTCTTGGTCCTGTATTTTTACTTTTCATGAAAATTTCCGTTAATTTTCGAATTTTACTCTATGTCCTGTTTTTTTCGAAACAATTTACCAAATGTCCTGTATTTTCATGAAAATTAGATGGTAACCCTAGCTATCGAGGCACTTTTGCTTCTTTTTTAAAAAATGTGTTTAAGAAGACAGCTAAGTGAATTTCCTGTTTGCTAATTAGGGGCCGTTCATTTATGACGTCCGACAATTAGGGGGGAGGAGGGGCTCTAGGATTTTGTGACAGTTCAAACAATGGAATTTTTTTCTATAGAATTTTTGTGACAAAGGGGGGTGGGGGAGGGGGGTCTTAAAATCTGGTTTTTTGATGGACGTCATAAGTAAACGACCCCTTAGTAATAATGATAATGATAAGTTTCTATTGATCCACTGTGAGTTTAAAGCGTTATTAAAGCTGTTGAACATGTTTCTTTCTCAGGTTATAACAGCTCATTCTGTTTGTTGCTTTGCTACTGCTCAGGCTTCTTCTCCGTGGTTGGAAGAATCAGTTGGGTTTAATGGATGAACGCAATTTCCCCTTGGCTTAAATACAACTGAACGAATGGCTCACTCACTTGTTTTGAATAGCAAAACTGAGTAAACCAATTTTAAAGGTTTTGACTGTCGTAAACAACTTTTTTAACCTCAAAAGTCAATTTAAAATGTTTTTTAACTCCAAAATAAAGATTCTTATTAGCTAAGTAGTTAAATCTATTAATAGAAAATCGAGTTGAGGCAAAATATAATAGCAATAAATTATCCATCAATATACTCAGTATTAATAATTCACGATAACATCCAAATCGCTTTCTAATTCCTTCACATGTTTTGTGAATCTCACATCATTATTCTGCAATTTATCATTCCAATCGATCGACAATCATCAGTTTTAATAAAAGCCGATAGCTTTTATCAAGGTTTTTCCATGTAAATTACATCAAGATTAATGATTTACTATCTGTAATTGTCGATAATAACAGCTGTAGTCGAACAGACACAAATAAATTACTTTTTTTTGCTCACTTTATTAGTTTCATTTGCATTTTCACTTCTACAACAGGGAAAGGATAATTTTGTGATCATAAAATTTACATATTTTTTTTTGTTTTATTTCATTCATAATATAATTTTTTTTTGTTTTAATAATCGTTAATTAACACAGAAGGATTTCATCGTTTTGAACTTAATAACTAAGAATAATAATAAAATAATATTCATAGAATAATAGTTATCTGAAGCCGACTTTCTTTCCAACAATTAATTAGATCCATAGATTAAATTATTCAACATTCCACAAATCTTGCTTTTTTTCAGATTAACAATAAAAAATAAATAAGATGGTGGTGGTGGGTTTGTTAACAAGTGACGTATAGCACCTTAAAGGAGAGTTTTAATTTTTGTAATCGATTTTTCAACCACTTTTACTAATTTAAATATTAAAGATCCCCCAGCTAAGTCAACGTATCCCCCAAACCCCCTTTTAATGATGTCAAGTGTCACAAGTCAAAGACCCACACCACAAAGGAAAACTTCAGTTATTCTGCATTGTTACTTTTTTTAATTCTTTTTTTAAACATTTAATTGCATTTAATTCCTTCTTATCTGAATGTTTTATCGTCCTTAAACATGACTACATAGTACGTACGTTTGGTAGACACTCGAAATTTTTCAAAAAAAAAACTTTTGCTTGATTTTAAAAATCATCCAAGAAGTAAACTTTAAGCCAAATTTATTGTCAACTGAAACGAGAATAAAGAAAATAATTTTGTAGGTCGACTTGCCTTTTGTGGATTGGTTTAAGGTGGGGTTAATGTTATATCTGTGGATTAAAAATAATCCGAGGTTTAAATCCTTGGATTTAAATTTTAATCCACAATTTAAAAAATATTCAAAATATCATATCCAAGGATTTAATTAAAACATCCCCATCCCAAAATAAGCACACGTATCGATTCTTTATCAAATTAATATCAATATCCAAATTATCGTTCCATAGACCCAAAATTAAATCCACTTTCCAACTTTTCCAATCGACCTACTACAGTGCCAGCCTTTTTCATTATAATCCACAAAAATTAAAGGGGGGCCATTTAGAAGTGGAGCTATTCAAAAGAATTACCAGAATTCCTAGCTAATTTAAAAAGTAACACTAGCAAAAAAGTTACAGCATAAATGATCGCAAACATAAGGAAATTACTTCACATTGCTGGATGTTCAGGAATAATTGATGCTACAAAAGACACAACGAATGTCCTTGCTATAGTCAGCCACGAAACTTGTGGCTCAGTACTTAATAATTCATCTGATGCATTCACTAATGGCTCTGTTTCGCTACTTTCTGCATTTTGATTCTCTTCCGTTGGATTTTCAGCATTTTCTGGTCTCTCTTCACCATTTTCTGGTCTTGGAGCTGCTGCTGGTGCCTGTGGTGGTCGATTGACATTATTAAGATTCACACGTGTCGTGTTGTTGTTATTCAAACGATTTTGATTCTGTCTATAGATGTGGTACCTAAAAAGCAATACAAAAGTGGAAATTAATATCACTGACGTGTACTTTTTGCGTCGTTTATTCTCTATTATCATTGATAAGATTATTTTGTGGAAATTTCTTAGTAAAATTTTTATCTCTGGGATTATTTAAGGAACATTGAAAGTTAATTAATAAATTTGCAATTTTAAGCACTCAAATTTATTTTGAATTTTTAACGTTTTTTGATCTCATCTTAGAAAATCTAGTCGAAAAATGACTTTTCCGAGGGTTTTTTCATCTCATCTAAGAAAATCTAGTCGAAAAATGACTTTTCCGTGGGTTTTTCATCTCATCTAAGAAAATCGAGTCGAAAATGACTTTTCCGTGGGTTTTTTCACCTCATCTAAGAAAATCTAGTCGAAAAATGACTTCCGTGGGGTTTTTCATCTCATCTAAGAAAATCTAGTCGAAAAATGACTTTTCCGAGGGTTTTATCACCTCATCTAAGAAAATCTAGTCGAAAAATGACTTTTCCGTGGGTTTTTTCACCTCATCTAAGAAAATCTAGTCGAAAAATGACTTTTCCGTGGGGTTTTTCATCGTAATTAAGGAAATCGAGACGAAAAATATGCTTTTCTTTGGGGTTTTTCACTTTAATTAAAAAAATTAATGCAAACATTTATTTTTCCTAAAGATTTTTCACCTCAAATAAGAAAAATTTGCTTTTTTGAGGTATTTTTCATACAAACCGAGCTCACCCAAAAATTTCATCAATTCATACAAAAATTTCATCTTAACAATAGAATGAAGAAATTTTTCATCAAGATGAAATCGTGTCAACCCCTGGCATAAAGTAAAACCAAAAACAGAAATTAAATCGAATTTTAAGAGAAGATAGGCAAATTGAATGCCTTAAACCCTAAAAATGTACCGAATCAAGTTTCAAAAATGCGTAAAAAATTATTTTTTGAACATAAATACTTTTATCAACTACACTGGTGGAAATTGAAATGAGACACCCATGTTTTTTATGTGAAAGTCTTACAAATGAAAGAATAGGCCTTACTTGTTATATATCATTGGAAAGGATTTTAAAAAATAACTTAGGTACAGGAACAATGTACTGACTAAAAATGTAGCAGTTTAAAGTTATTTACAAAATATGATTTTTGAGGTGGAAATTGAAATGAGACACTTTAGAAAAATTTACAAAAATCTTCCTCAATTTTGACTTTGACTATACATATTGTATATAGACTTGTAGATTTTTACTTTCTTAACAATACTAGAGCATTCTAAATTTTTTTGGAACTTCCAGTCATCTAATATCCTCAAGAGAAAGTAGTAAAAGCCAAGTTTTTTATTTTCATCAAATATTTTTATGAATAATCATCTATTAATAACAAATGAAATCAAAATATGTAGATTTTTAAACGCTCTTTCAGATAAAGAATTGATATTTAGCTCAACATAAGCTTAAATCACAAAAATTAATTAAAATGTATTTCACAAGTGAGTACGAATAGGAAAAAATTAATTTTTCTCTTATTTTGGTCAATCAAAAATATCTGAAGTTTTCAGGACACATTCTGCATTGTTTTTACTATAACTTTTTAATGCCATATATTTTTTATCTCCATCCATAAACGCTGGGGATAACATTTAATTCATGATGAAATCCCAAAATATCATATTCCATAAATTTTTCGCATTATTAATGCAAAAATTCAAATCGAAAAATTCCGGTAAAATTTTCTTATTTTTGTTATTTTTTAACACTTTATGGACATAAAACGTATTTATATAAAACTTATAGAATCATGCGCTATGCTTCAGATATTATGCTATCAAAATAATTTAATTATACTAGGTTTTAGTGTTTTTGTAACGGTCAAAATTTTTGAATTTATTTTTGCATCTTTTTTCTAGCCTAAAATTAATGGTGTAAACAAACAATAATTAAATTGTCCTGATATTATAAGGATACTATAGAATCTGAAACTTAGTGCATGATTCTCTAAATGTTATATACATACGTTTTATGTCCATAAAGTGTTAAAAAATAACAAAAATAAGAAAATTTTACCGGAATTTTTCGATTTGAATTTTTGCATTAATAATGCGAAAAATTTATGGAATATGATATTTTGGGATTTCATCATGAATTAAATGTTATCCCCAGCGTTTATGGATGGAGATAAAAAATATATGGCATTAAAAAGTTATAATAAAAACAATGCAGAATGTGTCCTGAAAACTTCAGATATTTTTGATTGACCAAAATAAGAGAAAAATTAATTTTTTCCTATTCGTACTCACTTGTGAAATACATTTTAATTAATTTTTGTGATTTAAGCTTATGTTGAGCTAAATATCAATTCTTTATCTGAAAGAGCGTTTAAAAATCTACATATTTTGATTTCATTTGTTATTAATAGATGATTATTCATAAAAATATTTGATGAAAATAAAAAACTTGGCTTTTACTACTTTCTCTTGAGGATATTAGATGACTGGAAGTTCCAAAAAAATTTAGAATGCTCTAGTATTGTTAAGAAAGTAAAAATCTACAAGTCTATATACAATATTTATAGTCAAAATTGAGGAAGATTTTTGTAAATTTTTCTAAAGTGTCTCATTTCAATTTCCACCTCAAAAATCATATTTTGTAAATAACTTTAAACTGCTACATTTTTAGTCAGTACATTGTTCCTGTACCTAAGTTATTTTTTAAAATCCTTTCCAATGATATATAACAAGTAAGGCCTAATCTTTCATTTGTAAGACTTTCACATAAAAAACATGGGTGTCTCATTTCAATTTCCACCAGTGTATATATTGGGCAAATATACGAGTGGGCTAAAGTATCAGTGGGCAAATAAATCAATGGGTAAGAGTACCAGTGGGCTAATGTTTCAGTAGGCATAAGTACCAGTGGGAAAATGTCAGTGGGCATATGTAGAGTGGGCAAATGTCGGTAACCCATAGAATCGTTTCCCAATAAAATATATGAAGGCACAAAGTTGATGATGCAATACTTACAAATAAATGGAAATTCCTATGAGAATCACAATAAGACATCTTAATGGCGACGAATAGAAGTACACAAGACACAAGAGAATCAATAGACGAGACATAGAATAGACAATATCAAGCCAGTCGCGATTTTCCTGTTCATCTTGAATAATGTTTGGAAACCTTCTTTGTGGCTCAGCTGCTGCTGGCGGTTGAGGTGCTTGCTCTACTTGTGCTTGTGGCTGCGCTGGAGGTGATGCTGATGCTGTCTGTATTTCAGAATTAGATGATTGAATTGTGGAACTTGTTGGCGATGTTGGAACTATTGTTGGTGCTATGAAAGGCATTTGTGGCTGCATAAAACCAGCAAAATTTGGTGCTTGCTGTGTCTGTTGTTGTTGAACTATATTCATATATTGATTCATGTATTGAGCATAAGCCTGTTGCATCCACGTTTGCATTGCATATTGTTGGGCGAGGACACTGTTAGCATCAAATGGCATATTACCGTAAAAGGCATTATAATAATTACTGGGAATGTTTGTGGTAGCTTGCTGCTGTTGCTCTGGCACTGTTGCAGCAGTTGTTGCTGTATGTCTCTGCCTTAACTCGCTCGTACTCATGTCTGACGATTGTGATTGATTTGACGTGGTATTTATTGATGAATTTTCCTTTAATATCGTTTGTAGTCGTGAACTTGTTTTCGGTGTAAAGACTAAATGGACTGTGTGAGCTTCCTGTCCCTCGTATTCTCGTAGAACGTCCTTTAACACGACAGTGTCGTTTAAAAGTTTTCCAGAATAAATTAATTTTTGCTCCTCAGTGCTCTACAATAATATTAATACAAGAAACGAGAGATAAGAATTTGTATTTTAGTTTCGAGTTTCACGATTTATACACTTGTAACATGATAAGTTGAATATAGAGGAATGTAAGTCATGCATTTAGCTAGTTCATCTTGTCACAAAATAATAGCCGTTAAATTTGGTACAAAAATCAAGTTTTGAAACTTTAACGGTTTAAATATTTTTAAAATTTATAACAGTTTTTAAATAAAATTATAACAGTTTTTGAATTTGAAATGATCGTTAAAATTCAAAACTTATTTAACCGTTAGAAAAACTTTTGGATGTGATGGATTTAGTTTTTCCAAAAAAAAGAATTAAGCATATACGTGTCCAATTACCAGTTAATTATAGCTGTTGCCGTATTAAAAATACATTTAATATTTGACAATTTGTAGAATTAGTTTCCAACACGCAATAAATGATTAAAGAAACACTGATAAACTGAGTTTAATACTAATATTTATCTTTGTGTATGTAGATAGCTTATTTTCTTCTTCTTTTCGTTAATTTAAGTAAATTACTGACTGAGAAAAAATTATAATGATCACAATTTTCACTTTTCATATACTGAGACTATAGACTATAAAATTAGATACACTATACAAATAAATAGTAATAATTTAAAACAAAAACAGACACGAAGAAGAAATTTCCATGAAATCAACAAAAATTGCGGCTCTGAGACTTGAATAATAATTTATTAATGAAGCTCGATTTTCAAGTTATGACTACTTTTTGAGAACATTATATGACTGTATAGACTGATATGAGTTATCAATTGTACAGCTGTATTTAAAAGTTTATACAGCCGTCTGTAACTTAATGTTATTATGAACAGTCTATAGAAAATAAAAACTGACGTGTCTCACTCTCTTTCGTCCAAATAGTCATGAACGAGTTTTAATGATGTGTTGAGAGATTTTTGTTGGGTATTACATCTGATTTGTATCAATATTTACTTTATATTCACATAACTAGGTGCTGGAAATTTCTAGAAATGCTGTGAACAATTGATAAACATCCAGTCAACTGGATCTTTCATATCGTAGATTAATTAATTATTCAATTCAGCACTATTTTTCCTTGTATATCTGTTCTCAAGGTCGTAGAATATCAAATTTATAGATGATGATACAGTAAAGCCGCGAATGACTTACTTTCCGATCGTTTTAATTATGAATAAATTAAATTAGACGTAAAACCTTAATCAACTTACAGTTGGATAAATTTCGCTTAGTTTGCCTTTTAGTTCTTTTATATTCCATGAAGCTTTAGCCAAGATCCTTTTATCCTCAAATTGCTGGACTTTTACTATTAAATTGATCATAGTATCCATTGTTATTGAACTTTTTTCACTTTTTAATTTTTTAATTTTCTTATTTTGGAGCTTTTGGCGATTAAAATTTCACTTCCTTGATGATTCTCTGGTTAATTACAGTCTGATAATGCTTGCTGATGTATTTGATGCTGGATTGTTCCTTTATAAACCGATATTAGCTTAATTATTTCGTTTTTGAAAATTTCATCAGAAAAGAAGGAAAATAATAATAAAAACTCACTCACACAACCATGCAACATTTGTACAACATTGAAGATCCAGGAGAAAATTACATGCCATCGGAATCGAATCCAAGTCAATTATAGTAATTTTCTTGCAGATCAAAAATGTCAACAATGGGTTAGTGCCGCATTAAATAATTAAATTAATCAGTAAATAAGCTTCTTTTTACTACTTTTATAGCTGAAACTACACCAGATGATCCAAGCCTACTCGTAATTTGTGTCGACTCAAATCCATCTCAGGGTATTTTAAGAAGAAATCCAGGTAAAAGATATAAATCCATAACTTACAGCATGAAACGTGAATTAAACTATTTATAGATGCTCTAAACTCAATAATCAACTGTGTGACTGCATTCGGAAATGCTCATTTAATGCATAAACCTCAGAATAAACTGGCTGTATTATCGTGTCATCATAATGGAAGCAAGTTCCTTTATCCATCGCCTGAGAAATCTCTAGAAATACGTCAAATGGATGGACAGTATGAATTCTTTACTTTTGTCGAGAAATCAATCAAGTTCAACCTCTCAGAACTCATCAAAAATGCTCCAAAGATTGTTAATAATGTTGAAAGTATGCTCGCTGGATGTCTTGCCATGGCTTTGTGCTATATCGTTAGAGTAAGTTAAACTTACTGTGTTTTATAATGTACAACCACTAACAAGATTCAATCATTATTTCAGGTCAAAAAGGCTCAGCCAATTGGAACTAATTTAATCTCGAGAATTCTGGTTGTAACTGGAAGTGAAGATTCAGCTCATCAGTATATGACATACATGAATGTCTTCTTTACAGCACAAAAGGAGCGAGTTGTTCTGGATATCTGCACATTAGATAATACTTTAGTTTTACTCCAGCAAGGATGTGATATTACTGGTGGACATGTGAGTAGTCTTTAACTTATTATTGGTGATGGATTTTCAAAACTAGCACTTGTTATGATAAACAGCACGCAAAATATGTACTGTACACCTCCTAATTTCCCATATTATTTTAGTACCTTAAAGTACCTCAACTTGATGGACTTTTACAATACCTGCTGTGGATTTTTCTACCAGAACCATCCATTCGATCGAAATTAGCTTTACCGCCAGCCGTTAAAGTTGATTATCGAGCAGCTTGCTTTTGTCATCGTGAGCTAATTGATATAGGATTTGTCTGTTCTGTTTGTTTAAGTATTTTCTGTAAATTCTCACCTATTTGTACGACATGTTCAACTGTCTTCAAAGTTCCGGTACCAATTAAGCCGAAAAAGAAGAAAATTAAGACATAAATCTTAAGATTTACTGAATAAAAAACGTTTATTGATATTTTTTAAGGAATTTAAAGCACCATTTGTAAAAATTAAGGAATAATTTACAGTTTAGCTTTCATAGTTTTGTAGAGTTCCTTCATTTCACGTCTTAAGATCTTGCCTGTGATATTCTTAGGAATTGCGTCAATAAATTTTACACCACCTCGCAGCCATTTAGGATTGCTGGCATTTTTAGCAACGAAATCTTTAATTTCTTGCTCTGTTAAGTCACTGCCTTCTTCCTTCACAATAAAAGCGAATGGAAGCTCGCCTGCAGCCTCGTCTGGGATTCCAATGACACCAGCATCTCTAATCTTAGCATGAGAAGATAATAAACCTTCTAGCTCAGCTGGAGGAACTTGATATCCTTTGTACTTAATCAATTCCTTGAGTCTGTCAACAATGAAGAATTGATAATCCTCATCATAATACCCTAAATCCCCAGAATGAAGCCATCCATCCTTGTCTATTGTGCTACTTGTTGCTTCTACGTTGTCAATATATCCTTTCATGATAAATGGACCTTTAAAGCACAGCTCACCAACTTTATTTGCACCTAGAATATTTCCGTCTGAGTCAACAACCTTACCGTAAGTTCCTCTTACTAACTGACCGACAGAACCTGGTTTTGCTGTTGCTACATCTGAATAAAGCACACCAAGAGTGGCCTCAGTTTGACCATAAGCTTGTAAAACAATAATTTCGTCATTAAATCGTTTCTTAACTTCCTCTTCAAGTTCTTTTGTTAATGGAGCAGCACCAGAAAATATTAGCTTCAAACTTGACAAGTCATAGTTGCTTAATAATGGTGTTTTTGACAGAAACAGAATGACTGGAGGAGGCACAGTGATTGTCAAAATTTTATATTTCTGTAATATTCAAAATGTCATTAAGAATTTTGTTCTTAAATCTCAAACTACTTACTTCAATACTTTTAAGGTACAACTTGGGTATGAACTTAGCTAAAAATACTTGTGTAAATTCCCGTGTTGTGGTAAATAAAAGTTTTCCCATAAATCCCATAACATGAAACCAAGGTGTGATGTATAAAGCTGTAACATTGCCAAACAATGACTTTCCCAAAGGAACTCTCTCAAGATTAGAAGCAATACAAGCAATTAAGTTGCCATGAGTCAGCTCAACACCTTTAAATTAAAAACAGTATTAACTTTAATATTTGGATTAGGTCAAATTATGAATTAATTAACCTTTTGGAAGTCCAGTTGTTCCGCTCGACATAAAAATTACAGCAACTTGCTCAAAGAGTTTGACAGGTTGTCGAACGAAGGCTTCTACGTTGAAGCTATTGTTACTATACTTATTGAGGAATGTCTTGAATGATATGAGCTTATCGCTGCTAACATTATCGTCGTCTAGTAAGATGACTTGCTTTACAAAGTCAAATTGTTCTAATTTAGGAAGAAGTGCTTTAGTGCTTGATGATATGAAGACAAACTTTGGTTTTGTGATGTTTAAAGTATGTTCAAGTTCACCTATTGAATTAAAAGATTAGTAGATACTTAGTTGAATATGGGCGATTCTCCAGAACGGTGGAATTTTGAAAAATAAGCTTTTTTAATCCAAGGTTATTTGTGTTTGGTTGTTAAAAATCTTCTGGTTAATATCTTTTAAATACATTTGAGTTTTAAATATCAAAACAGTCTCAAATCATCAAAAACAACTACTCTATTAAGTTTCATTAATAGATTTACATAAAAATCAAAGATAAGAGTAGGGGCCATTCACTTATTACGTAACGCATTTAGGGGGGGAGGGGGGTCTAAGATTTTGTTACGGTTCAAACAAGGAAATTTTTTTTTCATACAAATTTTGTTACGAGGGGGGAGGTCTAAAAAGTAATTTTTTTGCGTTACGTAATAAGTGAACAGCCCCGTTTTTTTTTTTTTTTTAGCTTAAAGATGCTCCGTGACATAAAGTTGACGTTCGGAGAATCGATTTTTCTCTTTAATGAAGCTGTTTTTCTTAGATTTTAAGCATAAGTATTATAGAAATGATAATACCCTACCATTTGATATGCATTTCATGATGCAAACATAAGAATTTAATGGATAAATATTGATTCCCCTATTGAATTTTTTGTAAAATTCCTTTTTCGGTCACGGAGCATTTTATCGAAGAATCAAAATATCTCTAGAATTAAGCTAATTAATGGTTGTTACAATAAGTCAACAGATAGATAGTGGAAAAATACATCAGAAGTCCTGAAAACCTAACATCTTTTAGTAGAAAAATCGGTCAAAAAATCAATTTAAAGTTGAAAATTTTTGATTTCCCCTACAGAGAATTGCCCTATATATCCATTGACAATGCTTATGGACGATTCTACGAATGATTTTTTCTACAAATTTGTCTCCAAATCTATATTTCTCTTTATCAGTTGCATTACTCCCCATGTTTCATGTATTTAATAGTAGATTTTACCGAGATCTACATATAGTTCTCACCCAAACATATTAAAAATGGTTAATTAAAGAATTATTTACATTTTACGAAAAATTACTCTGTTTCACACAAATTTTTCGCCCAAATTTCCAAAATGTTTTCATTAATATCTTTAAGGTGGTAAAATTTCCAGTAATACTAAGTATACAAAGTTGTAGCTTAAAGTAAAAGCTTCAAAACGATGTCAAAATCATATTTGTGGAAGCCTTAAATAAGCTGCAATTTGGATTCTACGAAAAATTTCATAAGTGAAACAGAGTAATTTGAAGACAATTCCAAAAAAAACTACCAAATATTAAAATTAAAACCATGAATTTCACAAGCCATAGCTAAGTAATTTGAGTGCAGATGTAATCATAATTCACAGTTTAACCAATAGAAAAGGAAATGAGAATTAGATTTTTGAAAAACTATGCACAAGTGAAAATTAAATAATTAAAAAATTTCATGCAGTTGACACGGATTATTTTCATGAAACCTTTTCGTAGAATTGCCCTTATTAAAGGTTTGATCAAGTTATAATCAAGTTTATCATTTGTGACTTTCGAACAGATATCTTTTTTAAAAGTTTTAGTAATTTGAAAGCTTTTCAATTTGAAAATATCAAATTACTTTCTTTGAAGTTGTCCAGCAAAAAAAAGGTAAACAAAAATAACCTTGAATGTCAAAGAATGTAAACAAAGACAACCTTGAATAAAGCTTAATATTTTTTTCCAGCTAGTTTGAAACAATTCAAAAAAATTAGCAAGCTAAGATAGTTCTCAACTAGAAGTAGCTTTCCCTTAATTATTAGGCATGCATGAATTATTTTGCTAGATTAAAAAGTCACATTATTAATGACTAATATTAATGAACAGCTAGATTATGACAATCTGTGATAAAATTGAAATCCCTTCGTAATAAATTGATAAACTCAACTTAATATGCTTTATCTATAGCCTAGAAAGGTTTTAATTATTTATATCTGTCATCATTTGCTATCGACTGTCAGTTAATATTGTATAATCATTGATTCATCACTTACGTTCTGTGTATGCAAAGTTTGTTGGCGCACAGATTGCATTTAAATAAAGAGTTCCATATGCAATCGCTGCATATTCTAAACGATTCTCAGACAGGATTGAAATAACATCGTTTTGTCGTATTCCAGCATCATAAAGTGCTTTTGCTACCTTTACACTTTGTTCCAAAAGATCATTAAATGTCCATTGTTCTTCTTTAATGCCATCAATCTGTGAAAATCCACAAATTAATAATTTTTGATGATCTGAATAAATATTGACAAACTTACCAATGCAACCTTGTCTCCACCGTCCTTAAAATTATCATAAAGCAATGCACCAACAGTTGGATAATCAAGCGATTCCTCAAAATCACCGCCATAAATAATATTTTGATTATTACTCATTTTTTACAACGAATATGGAACTGCTGTTGAATCGATTAGAGGTCAAAATGAAACTGAGAACATGCGTTAACAAAAAACCTTTGCATATTTATTATAAAAGCCTCAGCTGATTATACAGCGAGAATAACAAAGGTGCTTGTGTTTGTAAACATTAATTTTACTCTCATTATCTATATAAACAATGAAAAACGTGAGAGCCTCTCTCTCGAAGCTCTCTGTATGCTGTTTGATTGCTTTTAAAGTGTTTATTATCTTACTGAGAGTTATTAAGTTTAAGCTAAAGATAATTCTGAATTGAAAAAATTAACTTTACAATCATGAAGTTGTGACCAATACTTTGAAGATTTTTAAAAAACAATAATATAAATTTTATTAATTTGATTATAAACGAACTCTACAACTTAGCTTTCATATTCTTATAAATTTCTCTCATTTCTCGTCTAAGAATTTTTCCGCTTGGATTTTTAGGAATTTCGTGAACAAATTTCACACCACCTCGCAGCCATTTTGGATTGCTGACATTTTTAGCGACGTAATCTTTTACTTCCTGTTCTGTTATTTCAATGTCCTCTTCCTTTACAACAAAAGCGAATGGTAGCTCACCGGCAAGCTCATCTGGAATTCCAATGACTCCAGCATCTCCAATCTTTGGATGTGAGAGTAAAATTCCTTCTAGTTCAGCTGGAGGAACCTGATATCCTTTATATTTGATCAGTTCCTTAAGTCTGTCAACAATGAAAAATTGATAATCCACATCATAATATCCTAAATCACCAGAATGAAGCCAACCATTCGTATCAATTGTGATCGCAGTTGCTTCTGGATTGTTTCGATAACCTCGCATTACTGACGGTCCTTTAAAACATAATTCACCGACCTTGTAAGGACTTGCGCTGTTTCCATTATCATCAATAACTTTCCCATACGTTCCTTTAACTACTTCACCAACTGAGCCTGGTTTTGATGATGCTATTTCACAAAGAACAACAGCAAGTGTAGCCTCAGTTTGACCATAACCTTGCATCACCTTGAGATTATTACCAAATCTTGCTTTTACCTGATCTTCTAATTCTTTTGATAAAGGAGCTGCACCACATATTATGTACCGAAGACTTGACAAGTCATACTTATAAAATAATGGAGATTTAGCCAGGAATACAATAATTGGCGGTGGAATCAACAAGGATACAATATTGTATTTCTATTAATTAAAATAAAAACAAATAATTCGGTTAATTAGGTTGATCGGGAGCGTAGTTGTGAGGAGGGGGATCTATAGAAATATTTCTGACATCCTCGACACTGATTTAAAATTATCGTACCTGAATGCATTCAAGATAGACATCCGGTTCGAATTTGTTTAGGAAGACATAGGTTGCTAAACTGGATGTTGTACACCAAATTTTTCCCATAAATCCCATAGCATGAAACCAAGGCACAACAGATAGTGTATCAAGTTCGCCAAAAAGTTGTTGATTTATCCTCACTCTTCTGAAGTTTTCAACAGCACATGCTATTAGGTTGCCTTGAGAGAGCTCAACTCCTGAAAATTGTTCAAAATTAGTACAAATAAGCCATAAAAATCATAGATGCTCACCTTTTGGTAATCCAGTAGTTCCACTTGACATAAAAATCACAGCAGTTTGATCGAATATTTTTAAAGGCTGTTGCACTATCTTCTCAACGTTCAAATTGTTATTTCCATATTTAGCAATGAAGTTTCTCAAAGTAATTTGTCGACTATCTTCAACTCCACCATCTATTAATATGATGAGCTCAACATAGCTGAGACTTTTGATAACCTTAAGACTTTCTTTGGCTGCTTCAGAAATGAACACATATTTCGGTCTTGAAATGTCCAATGCATGCTTTAGCTCCCCTAGATAGTAAAATTTGTGAATCATTTGTAGACGACTTCTTATCAGTTATTAGACTTATCAACATTTGGTCTATCCCCATTAAATTTTACTTACGTTCTGTGTATGCTATATTTATCGGTGCTATTGTGGCATTTAAAAATAAAGTTCCATATGATATTGCTGCAAATTCAATGCGATTATCAGATAAAATTGAGATGACATCATTTTGACGTATTCCAGATCCATAAAGTGCTTTCGCAGCTTTAGTACTTTCCATCAAAACATCATTGAATGTCCATCTTTGATCTGTTAATCCGTTAATCTAAAATTTTATTGTATTAGAATTTAATCTACTTTAAGATATCTTTTACATACCAATGAAGTTTTGTTCACACCTGATTTTAGACTTTTCACTAACAGATCCCCAAATGTGGCATAATCTAATGAATCTTCTAATTCGCCCATAAAAACTACATTTGGATCGCGTTCCATAACTGTGTTTTTCTTAATGAACTTCCTGATTGTTTATAGACTTAAACACATCTGAGATTACTTTAAATTTTTAAGCATAAACAAGTTGACTGATTAGCAGAATGAGAGAATGAGAATATGTTCTGCTTTCTCTTTGCTTTCTTTGAGCATGAGAACTTTTAGAACCATAGAAATTTTGAAGTGTGTATGAAAAGAAGCAATACTCTGACCTATCAGCGACATCATATCAATGCCCTTAAGACACAGACCTATCAGGATTATCATCATTTACAAATCCTTATAACTAAGCATGAATCCCCAACCTAGGATAAATTGTTGTCTATCGATCCCTGTCGAATTTGGGAAATTGATAAGATATCGCTAGCTTTAGATTCTTATCAAATTAATTAACCAAAAATTTAATCTGAATATATAACAAGATTAGCTTTGTATTAATTATAAACAGCACAAATACACCTTAACCATAATCATTTCTAGATTTTTACAATAATTGAATTTTTCTCAAATTTTGATAATCTTATCATTTTCTCTGAGCGCATCAAAAACACAGCCAGGCTTCCTTTTAAATTTGTTTTACAATTTTGCTGACATATTTTTAAAGTATTCCTTCAATTCCATTCTTAGAATCTTCCCAGTAATGCTCTTTGGGATCTCATCAATAAATTTGACTCCACCTCGAAGCCATTTAGGGTTACTTGCTGTTTTTGTGACAAAATCTTTAACTTCTTGCTCTGTTAGATCACTGCCTTCTTCCTTCACAATAAAAGCGAATGGAAGCTCACCAGCAACCTCGTCTGGAATTCCAATGACACCAGCATCTCTAATCTTTGGATGTGACAGTAAAATTCCTTCTAGCTCAGCTGGTGGAACTTGATATCCTTTGTATTTGATCAGTTCCTTAAGTCTATCAACAATGTAGAATTTGTTATCCTCATCATAATATCCTAAATCACCAGAATGAAGCCATCCATCCTTATCAATTGCACTTGCTGTTGCTTCTGGATTGTCAATATATCCTTTCATAATAAAAGGACCTTTGAAGCACAACTCACCCACTTTATTTGAACCTAAACAGTTTCCATTTAAGTCAATAGTCTTAGCATAAGTTCCTTTACTTAAGAAACCAACATTGCCAGGACTCAAAGGACTGAAATCTGGATTAACAACAAGTGTTGCTTCTGTTTGTCCATAAACCTGACAAACTAAAATTTCGTCATTGAATCTCTTTTTAACTTGTTCTTCAAGCTCTTTTGCTAATGGAGCAGCACCAGAAACTATGACTTGTAAGCTTGACAAGTCATAATTGCTTAGTAATGGTGTTTCACACAGGAAGTGAATAATCGGAGGAGGGACAGTTATTGTCATTATTTTATAATTCTTTAATAAAAGAAAAGGTTCGTCAAAGTTTAAGCATAAATGTTCTTAAAACTTCATATTCTCACCTGAATACACTCAAGATACAATTTCGGTACGAACTTTGCAAAAAATACATGACAGAATTCTCGTGATGAAGTAAATAAAAGTTTTCCTACAAATCCCATCACATGAAACCAAGGTGCAGCGTATAAGGACGTAACATTGCCATATGTTTCTTTCACTGAAGGAATTCTTTCAAGGTTACCCGCAATATAAGCAACCAAATTACCTTGACTCAGCTCAACACCTAGAATAATTTTCATTAAATCTTTAAATTAAGTAATTTGTATTGTGATAACCTTTTGGAAGTCCTGTTGTTCCACTAGACATAAAAATCATAGCTCCTTGATCGAACAGCTTGACAGGCTTCCTCACAAAGGATTCTACATTGAATTTGTTGTTTCCATATTTATGTAAAAATGTCTTATAAGAAATCAGCTTCTCATCATCAACATTGTCTTCATCAAATTGGATGATCCGCTTTACGAAGCTAAACTCTTTAATCTTTGAAAAAAGTTTTTTGGTGCTTGATGATATAAACACGAATTTTGGCTTTGCGATGTTCAAAGTGTGTTCAAGCTCACCTGTTTATAGGGTTGAATTGTTGTTATTATTGAAATTAGTTCATTAAGCGTGGTTTTAATTCCACCTAGTTTTAAACAAATTCTAATCGCTCTTTAGATTTTTATAATTAATTAAAGGACTCTGATTTAACTTACGTTCAGTATAAAGAAAATTTGTAGGTGCACAAATGGCACTCAGGAAAATAGTTCCGTATGCAACTGCTGCATATTCCAGGCGATTCTCCGATAAAACTGAAATGACGTCATTTTGACGTATTCCAGCACCGTAAAGTGATTCTGCTATCTTTACACTTTGTTTTAAAAGTTCATTGAATGTCCATTCTTGTTTCTTAATTGCGTCAATCTAGGAAAATTCAAAAACTAAGGTTTTTGAAGATCTTTAAAGGAGTTCAAACACTTACTAATGAAACCTTGTCTCCTCCATCCTTAAAATTGTCGTAAAGTAATGCACCAACTGTTGGATAATCGAGTGTCTCCTCAAAATCTCCACCACAAATAATATTTGGGTCGTTACTCATTTTTAAATTATTGTAAAATTGCCGATGATTCGATTAGACTTCCAATTTGGAAGGAACAAATTAAACTGAGAGTTGTGCGAATTTTGAGCTGTTATTTTAATACTCTGGACTATGTTTATAGTTTTATAAATTAATTTAAATAAATTTAATTTACATTGATTGTTTTCAGGGGTTTAGAAATAAAGCATATATAAAAATTCCTGTAAAAATTAGAATTTTCGTGGCTTTAAAGAATAGGTTTTGAGTATATAAATTTGTTAAATTGACTTTATTAACATATTTTATATCGTTTTAGAAAACATCTACAACTTAGATTTCATACTTTTGTACAGTTCCTTCATTTCTCGTCTTAAAATCTTTCCGCTTGGATTTTTAGGAATCTCGTCAATAAATTTCACACCACCTCGCAGCCATTTTGGATTGCTTACTGTTTTTGCAACGAAATCTTTGACTTCCTGTCCCGTTAAGTCACCTTCTTTAACAACAAAAGCGAATGGTAGCTCACCGGCAACCTCGTCTGGAATTCCAATGACTCCAGCATCTTTGATTTTCGGATGTGATAGCAAAACTCCTTCTAGCTCAGCTGGTGGAACTTGATATCCTTTGTATTTGATCAGTTCCTTAAGTCTATCAACAATGTAAAATTGATAATCCTCATCATAGTATCCTAAATCACCAGAATGTAGCCAACCTTGCTTATCGATTGTACTTGCTGTTTCGCTAGGATTATTTCTATATCCTATCATAGTCAATGGACCTTTAAAACATAATTCACCAACTTTATAAGGTCCCAAACTTTTTCCATCACCATCAATAACTTTCCCATAAGTTCCCTTGACTAATTCACCAACTGAACCTGGTTTTGCTGATACTACGTCACAAAATAAAACACCAAGTGTTGCTTCCGTTTGTCCATAAGCCTGCATTACAAATATTTCATTGTTGAATCTTTCTCTTACTTGATCTTCAACTTCTCTTGATAGAGGCGCAGCACCACAAACTATTATTTTAAGACTTGATAAATCATATTTACTAAAAAGTGGAGTTTTAGCAAGGAAAATTATGATTGGTGGTGGAATATGTAAGGTCACGATTTTGTATTTCTGGAGATTGGAAGTGGAATTGCTAGAAAATCGGATTAGGATAAAATTTCATATCTACCTCAATGCATCTAAGGTACAACTTAGGTTCAAACTTGTTAAGATACACAAGCGTTAAAGCACTAGATGTCACACATAAAATCTTCCCCATAAATCCCATCGCATGAAACCATGGTGCAACAGACAGCGAGACAAGCTTCTCAAAAAGTTGCAGACCTAGCTTGACTTTTTCAAAGTTTAGAACAGCACATGCGATTAAGTTGCCTTGAGAGAGTTCAACACCTGGAAATTAATGCATAAAATATTTCTTTAATTAACAAATTTCTTCTTGCATGAAAACGACAAATTAAATACAACCTCACCTTTTGGTAAACCAGTAGTTCCACTTGACATAAAGATCACTCCAACTTGCTCAAATATCTTAATTGGCTGCTGAATAAATCTCTCAACATCAAAGTCATTTCTCGCAAATTTATCAATAAAATTATTGTAAGAGATTTGTCGACCATCATCAGCAACATCACCGTCTAATAAGATTATCCTTTGAACATAGCTTAGATTCTTGACTATTTCAAGATCTTCTTGGGCTGCCTTCGATATGATCACATATTTAGGTCTTGTTATGTCAAGTGTATGCTTAAGTTCACCTGTAGAATTTTTTAAAACATTTTTAAACAGTGGAATTGAAAATCGACCCGGCTTTTTAAAATTATTCAATACTTTCTAAAAATTCACCTAGAATAGGTCGAGTTCAATTGCTTTTTCAGCTATCATTATAAATTCAAAATAAACATTGGGTGTAGAATATCACAAAACAAATTAAGTAAAGGGTGTCCATAAATGATGTCTATCAATTCGGAAATTTAGATGAGTTGTTGTCAAATGACGTCTTTCAATAACTGAGTTTAAGATTCCTCTCCTAAGCAGCAAAAAGTTTCCAATTAAAGAGTTGACAACTTGGTGTAGCTTCACATATTATTTTCTAAACGAGTGTGACTGCCAAGACAACTTGGCGTTAGCTACTCTTTATCTTGAACATTTTTAGCTTTCGGATCACCCACAACTGTCACAAAAACTTATTACAAACAATTTTCTTTTTTAACGAAGTGTCACACAGCGGTAGATTGCCCTTAATCATTAAGCTTAGTCATTAATGCTCCTAAACCTTCTCAACAGTCAAAAATCGATGTCATGCGTGACTGACCCTATTGTTTACAATCAAAACTTTGATAATTATTTAAAAAATGTCTTTCATTCATTAAAGATATGTTAACTTATCATTCAAGAACTACTTAATCCTCTAAACTTATCAATAAAACTCTTATCAGTACTTAAGAGATGCTTTAAATAACTCTCACACTTACGTTCCGTGTATGCTATATTTGTAGGTGCTATTGTGGCATTCAAAAACAGAGTTCCATAAGCGAAAGCTGCATATTCAATGCGATTCTCAGAAAGAATTGAGACAACATCATTTTGACGAATTCCAGATCCATAAAGTGCTTTTGCAGCTTTAATACTTTCTCTTAAAATATCATTGAATGTCCACTGCTGTTCTGTTACTCCATCAATCTGAATTAATCTTTAATTATTAAAAATTCACTCAAAAATATTATTTTTCTACCATTGAAATTTTATCACCACCAGCCTTGAGACACTTGACTAGTAAATCCCCAAAAGTTGCATAGTCCAATGATTCATCTAAATCACCTTTATAGACAATATTTGGATCGTTCTCTATTTCCATTATTTAACGTTCTTTATTTACTTTTGAAGCGCTCAAAGACTGAATTAAAACTGAGATAATTTACAGTATTTTTTGGTGTGCGACATAAACAAGCGTACTGATTAGCGGCAGAGAGAAAATTGAGAAGCATTTTAAGTCAGTTTTAACAATTTATTCTCTTTTGAGAGATCTTTAAGTGTATATGGAATTTTAAAATGTTAAACAATATTAACGGGTTTGTAAAATTCAAATTAAAGCTTTTCGATGCACGTTTTTGTGACTTTATCAAGCTTTTGATTTAAAATATGTTTAAATGATGGTTGAGAATAGGGAAGAGTTTTGTTGAATTATGAGTATTTGAGGGTTGCTATTTGTTATACTTGAAGTAGGAGCATTTCTAGAAATTTTTCAATTCTGAAGGTAGCAAATCATCTAAATCTTCTTTGGATTCTCGCACTTGTATCAATAGAAATTCTATTCTACATATTATGGAATAATATCCCCTTGTTTTATCCACCATTAATATACGATTGACATAAATCGTCAAATTCAGGCATAAATTCCTTCATAAAATTTCCCCCAAAACATCTCCAATCACAAAAGAAAAAGTGAAAGTAAAAGGAAATAAAAAATTTATAGAGGAGGTAAATTTTTCAATCGAACAAAAATAAAAGGATAAACTCATGCACATGTGTCTCGTACAATCGTCAATAAATACGCCAATTTCATTGCACGACAATATTTCATCAAGATCCATTCAAGTTAGGGAAGAAATTTACGAAAAACAAGAGAGTAAAATTGATTTTTATGTCCCCAAAAAATATATTCCAAATGTTCTTTATTTATTCATGAATTGTGATGATAACAGCACATAGCTACAGCTACGCATACACACACACGATAAAGTGAAAAATTCGCAATATTTTTTTTATGCAGAAATTATTTTATTGTTCCCGTACGGAAATCAATATCGTTTCAATATTGTTATGTGTTATTTTGATATGTTTGGATGCATAAAGTGGTTGAATATTAAGAGGAAAAAGAGAGTCTCAATTGCATATTGTTGTGCAGTTTATTGACATCTGATTATGGGTGTTTGTGATTATTGCGTTAATTCATTTAAAATGTAATAAAATTGGTTTAATTTAAACTTTTAATTGATTTTGCAATTTTCATGAAAATTTTATCGTCAATGATTTTAATAAAATTGTGATAATGTAAAACAAAGTTTTTGTGGATGAATGGTGTAATTAAAATGTTTTGGAATATTTTAGGTTGTTGACATTTTGATTAAAATTTTTGCACAAAATTCTTTATTCAGACTTTTAACTAGCATGACTATCCGTTTAGGTTTTAGGAAGACATTCTTTCTTCTGCTTGATTTGGTTCTTGCTATAATGTCGTAAGCAGAGTTTTCATCTATCGAGTTTTATTAAAAGACAAAAATCAATCACAGGTATTATCTTTCGAAGGACATCAAAATTTGCCTTTATCAAGGCTTGCCTAGTCAAAGGGAATACCTATTTAACGGCACTGTCTGGAAATAGCAATAGTTTTTGCCTATGCTTAGGCACTGTCTATCGTAGACATTCTTTTTACTAAATAAAACTTATATTAGATTCATGAAAGTGCTTTTTTTGTTTGTGAAAATTTCAGACAAATTAGGCAACTACATAAATTTAAACTGGATTTTGCTTAGTCAAAGGCATGCCTATGATAAACAGTGCCTACGCGTAGAAGAAACCTGTTGACTATTCTAGTGATCATTAATCGAATGGTTGTAATATCGTCAAGCATATAAATAATGATTGGAATTGATGAATGGATTCCAATATGGAAGATTAGTCTCTTGTGAAAATTGAACCCACCTAATCTCTCGGCTACAAAAAGCTTACTCTCGTCCTAGCAAATTCACTTATAAATAGCTTTAAACCACAGAGTCAAATCTATTCCGACATCTTATAGTTTAAACTCTCATCATGTTAAGCTAATGTTGTAATCCAGGCTCGGAAACTAAGCGGTATTTAGTGGTATTTTTTATAAAAAGGCAGTATTTGGGGGTATTTGGCAGTATTTGTATAGAAGTTATAGTCCGAGCCTAGATTATAACACTACATTCAGCCAACAGATGTTTTTTTTTCCAATTCCTTAAAATTAAAAGTTGCCCCGCATTCTTAAAAATTAAAAAATCATGATTATAAAATTAAAGTTTAATCAACAATTCCGGCTATTGATATAAGTTTCAGCAAAACAAAAGCACAAGAAAACTTTCTCATGAATTGCAATAATAAAACTTCTCTTCTTACTTCTCCTGATTGCATTTTGTGATGAGGAAAAACTATTTTTCTGAAATTTATCGCTTCATTTTCTGAATTTACAAACAAACACAAAAAATATAAAGAACTGAAAACTTTTGCACATACAACATGAAATAAGTTGTAAGAGAGTGAAGGAAATCAAAAGCTCATTCAACAATGCAGTGGGCAAAAGTAGGAGAGAATGAATCTCAAAGAACATGAAATTTATGGTGAGGAAAGTGCAATGAAAAATAATTAGATGAATTTTCTTTTAATTAGTTTTTATATCCCATTCTCCCACGAGTGCATCTCCATTTCCCTAGACTTGTAGTCGCCTTATATGCATGCTCACATTTCTCGAGTACAAGCAATATTAGAAAGTTTTTTTTTGTGTATACATTCTGCGAGAAAAGCTCTCCATCTCCATTCATCTCTTTTGCTGTATTCCCATAAAACTTTCTTTTGGTTTTTTCAATTTTTTTTCTTTTTTCATTTTGCTTTGTGCAAAAATATCCCATAAAATTTTTTAATTAGCCATAAATTAAGGACTTTAAACCATCCTTGAAATGAGGGTAAATGAATGAGCAAAATAAAACTGGGTTTTTGGCGGCAAGTGAGCCATAATATTTTAGTGTGAAATCAATTCCTGGTGGGAGTTTTTGTTGATGATGAAATAATATTAAAATGTAATACTTTTAACAGTCTTAACAATCTTGTCGGATTGTTCACATTCTTGTCATTTGTATTTATTTTCATTTATTGATTAAAAATAATGAGTAAAGCAACTCCTTCAAAACCTTTATCCACAATTGTCACCTATCAAATTCCTATCGAAATCAGCATTATAATATATCAAAAACCTTTGGGTAAGCTGCTGATAACGTTACTTACCCGGCAAACCACTGTTTTGTCCTTGAAGCTATTGATAGATTAGTTTAGATACGTATTGTGTGCAATGGCTTAGTATATTCATACATTTTTATCTTGGCTAGGTTTAGGCGATGTCCAAAAAAAAAAAAACAAAAACAACTAAGATGCAGCTAAGCATCTACATGACAACTCAAACTTTATTCTTTATCTTAGAAATTTTTAAATAAGAACTTAATGATATCATGCAGTTTTTATATTGTCAGTACCAGAACATTCCCATAATTATGATATTTTTAAATATTAAGCTAACTTCTATAACAAAGGATGACAATTCAGGACGACTTGCAATAAAGTAAAAATAATTTTGTAATTAGATAAAGTGACCAAAAAATCAACACGACAAAAAAAATAAAACTTTTTCTAAAACTATACAAAAATTATTCATCACTGGCACTTTCTGAGAATTGCTGGAAGGCAGAACAGAAACAAAATTATTTAGTGGTAAAAACTTTTTTTATTTGATTCTTTTTTGCTGCGTAGTGCGGGAATGACGATGAGTATAAGAGTGAAATAAACAGACACCAAAAAGTTTATTTTTGCATTTTAATTAAAAGTATAAATCATTTTGCTTTTGGCTTGAGTGTTTTTTTTTGCTTCTCGGACTTTTGAAAAATTGAGAGAAATTGCACACAAAAAAAATGTTGGGAGGAAAATTGAAACAATTTTTCTCAACTATTGCCATCTAAATTGCATCGTTTACTTTTTGAGAGAGTTTTATTTGATACGCAAATAAAGAAAAAGTTTGTTTAGTTTAAGGCAGTCCCGAGCTTTGCAATTGATGTTGACTTTAAGGAGATTTTGCTAGATTTTTACTGGAAATTATATTTGTGGGCTACAGGCAGTAAATGTAATCAAATGAGTAGTTCGGATCCCACTTTAAACTGTAGGTCTAGGTTTGAGCACAGTGATTTGGCGCGTTCTCATTCGGTCAACTTCCGTTAGCTGCGAATCACCTTAGCGCACCTCTGGATCAAAATTGATCTGAATATGCAAAGGTTTTTTTATAATTAATAAAAGCTCATTCCATCCAAATTGCTTAGTAGCTTAGTTTATTTGAAACCTAAATTTGAAGATTAGAAGTTTGATTCTACATAATATTAATTCATATGTATACAAATACAAAAAGTGTAAAATGTGAATTATTACCGGACAGTATGTCGACAATAAATGCAATAAAGTGCAATTAAAATGAAAAAAAAAAAAGCTTTTAAGAGGCAAAGGTTGCTTATAAGGCTTACCTTGATCTTTAACGAAGAGTTTTCAGTATGGATTTTGATTCTAAGTCCATTCTAGGTGCTCTTTTAAGCTAGTGTATGAACTGATTGTGACTAAGGTTGAGGATCCCTGATAATCCTTATAACTATTGATGTCTCTGTCACCTAATTTGTGTAATATTGTATTTTCATTTACGCTGAATTGAACAGCCTCTGTTTTAAACAGTTTTTAATTAAATTAATTCTTCAATTCTTCAAAATCCATTAAAACTCTTCAAACTTATTACATACTCCTCGGAAAACACGACAGAAAAATTATTTAGGCTAAAAAACCCACTCAAATAAATTAAAAGCATATGAAAAAGTTTTTGTTAAGTTCATGATATGAAACTTACATACTTAAATATACAAAACATAAATACAATATCGATTTTTCCCCAATATATTTGAACATTTTTCAAAAATTCACAAATTTTTCCCTTCAATTCTTTCCTATAGTGACTGTAAGATAGGAAGAAATAAAAAACGGGTAAAAAAAATTACAGCAACAGCAGCTTTTTATTATTTTGACAAAATACACAGAACATTATGCAAATAAAGTTTTTTTTCCTGCGAGAAATTTTCATCGACAAAATATTGTGAATCTATGCAATATATGATGATACATGTGTAGCTGTAAATTTAATTTTTTTTTTCTGGTGGGGTGGCTATCGTGCTGACTGGAGTGAATCTGGGTGGATCAAAGAATATTAAAGATATTGAATTAAGAATTCTTTTTGCAACTTTAAATCATTGTTTTACTAATTTGTCTAAATTCCTGCTAGTTCAGTCATCAACCCCTAAACCGATTGGTCACCCCATCCATTCATAATCAAATCGGAACATGTGTTGAAAAATACTTTTTATCACAATGTGCATACATTGTCGCTCTTTTTTCCCATCCTTTCGACAGATTTATTTGTAACAATACATTGGCTTTGAAATATACCGCGAATTTTGAACGATAAAAAGCCTTTTAATTGTATTTTATGTTAGTGAATTTTTTTAAGCGTAACCGATCGTGATATGTGGATTTATGCTACTCAATGCATTGATTTAATTAAGTTTAGACGTGAAATATTATGTAATTTAGAATTCAGTCATGATTAAAACAATTTTGTTTGATAAAAAAAAATAATTATGAATATTGATGCTGATGAATTGATTATATTGTGGAGCATTTAAGTTGATGCATAATACATTCTATGCTTCATTTGAGATTCATAAAGCACTTGATTTTAAATGAGATTTAAAAAATTAATATTGAGATAAAACATTGATTTTGAAGCATGAATGGTTTCATCATAAACTAACTGGAGCGAAAGGTTAGGGTTAGCTCTGGCAACTAGGTTTCTATTATTAAACCTATAACGTTACATAAATAAACCCTTACAACCTATTGTTAGAAATTTAACGCAAGTTTAAAAGGTTTTGTAAACTTATAAAGACACAGTCAAGTAAAAGAGCATCAACATCATCACTAAAGTCAACCTTAGTCGTTACAATAAATAGAATCACACTTTTATCCAATTTAGACTTCAAACTATTTAATTTCTACAGCAATTCTAATAAAACGCACACCGCAACTGAAATTTATTCTTTTCAAATATTCATAATTAACTAATAAAATCATGCCTGCATGACAAAACATTTAAAATGGCTCTCATTTGCTGCTCCAGAAAGCAGAAAGTCCCAAAAATGCTCATGGAATTTTCATAAACAGCCACATGACTTTTGTTTTAATCCAATATTTTAATGCCAAGATATTCATTTTATTAAAATGTTTGCCTGACTATGCAAAGCATTTAATGAACAATTCCAGTTTAAAAAAAATTCACTCCGTACTCTTGCTGGATATAAATAAATTCACTTACTAAAATAAAAACGAAAATGAAATTGAAAATTTTTCCAGCTTGTTTAATATGCGAGCTGTGCTTTATTATAATCACTTTACCATAATCTCTGCCGAAAATCCAATTTGCAGTTGTTAACCACTGAGCTGTAAAAACGGACTTGACCATTCTTTGCGGAACAGTTTTTATGCTCGGCGTTTCGTTGGGGATTAAAAACTTTAAACAGCTTTCAGCTCATGATTTTTATTGCTTGTTTAATTTTTTAAAGGATTCCTACTTGAATATTTATGAAAATTAATTTGCTTAGGCATTTTTCTGCTTTGATCTGTGCTAAGTGTGCATTTAATTTTCATCATTTGAGCAATTTTCATCGATGCTTTATTTCTATCGTTATCATTAATACATCACTTTTATGAAGTTTGTGCTACGTTTTGAATACTTTTTTAAATGATAAGATAAAAGCTGAATTATTGAGCAGTTTAGAGCTGTTTAAGATAACAAGGTGAACTTATACAAGTATCAGAATTTATTTTTAAACAGAGAGTTTTCAGCCCTAAGTTAATTGGACAATATTGTAAGGATGATCAATGTCTGTATCCGAGTGCGATTAATGATTTTGCCGCATGGGGCTGGTTTCTAGGGATATCCGGGACTCTTAGGGTAGGAATAAATGCACAACATGGGTTATAAATAAAATTGATCAAAGTCTTTGGTAAGTTGCCCTGAGTAGCCCTAGAAACCGGCCCCAAGAGTTGATTTCCTATACCTTTAACTTAAACTTGGTTCCTTAAGTATTACAAAATATACAAACGACACCTAAGAGGTCGTGAGATCCAGCTCTGATCTATTTAGATTTATTTATATACTTAAGTATCTCAAAATTCACCATGCTTATAGCTTTTGTTTCAAAATATTTAACAGTAAAGCTGATTTATTCTAAAATCATAAAATTGCAATCAGCTCCTATTCATTCTAAATTTACATTTGAAAATTTCCCATAGGTTAATAGGAACTCCATAATATTATAATAATTATGCAAATTCTGGCAAACTCACAAAAAATATATTCTAGAAAATTTTACATTGTATGTCAACTGCACAAAAAAGTTCGTGTCCATCTAAACTGATGAAAATTTTATTCTCCAAATTTATTTTTGTAACCATTCAGCATCTCTCTTTCCAAACCGTTGTTTTATACAATGTATAGTAGAAAATTAATAAATCATGATGATTTGTAATTTGAAATGTGTGTGATGATGTGAACCAAAACACCTGCGATGTTTTCCAACTTATTCTTTTCTCAATAGCTTAAAAAAAATTCTGAGATAAAACAAAGGAAACTACTCCTGATTGCTGACGTAGTTTGTGTTGAGGAGGTTGGATAATGTATTATGGAAGAAAAGGGTGTCATTAAGTGGAAAATGATGTTTGAAGTCATAAATAATGCAAAGCTTCTCTCATTTCCAGATCAAATCCATGAATGATAGATAACAACATCCGTCACAGCTCTATTCAGCTCAATTATTCTCCAAAAAAAAGCTTTTATTTTTTCAAAGCATAAAATTCTCGTTCACACTATCGAAATATTCATAATTTCGTCCATGACGTTAATGGTGCGTTTGTGCATTCAAATGCGATAGGATAGATGGTTTCAATAAATTTTTGAAGTAAAAACAAGTTGTAAAGTTTGTTGGAAAAAGTGCATTCGTCAAAATAAATTTAGTTTAGACATTTTTAAATCGTTTTATTGTTTTATTGATGGAATTTTAAAATTTCAAATAATTCAATTCAACCTTGCCAGTTGGGCGGGGGTGTAACGCATCCAACTTTCGTACATGCTCTTAAGCCTGTTGGCGTACAGAAGCAAGTATTGCAGTCTTCCTTCCAGTGTGTATCAGGAACACAATCTTCAGCATTGCAGTCTGAAAGAATCAATTGTATTTTTTTTAAAATGCTTGATGATTTACGTCATCCAAAACGTTATCAATTTATTTTAAAAGGAAATCAAAAAGTTCAAATTTCAAGTCTGTGAAATTGATTAAAAAATGTGAATTGGCACAAAAAGATTAGCTTACAGATGTTTTGCATATAAAAGTCATGATGTCTAGTTAAAAACTAAACGTACGGTCAACTAATGACGAATTTTACATAACCTTCCAAAGATAATCATTAGTTGACTGCATCATTAGCTATTAAATATTGTTCTACTCAGGCTGTTGGTGTGTAGATTTTGTGTAGCCATAAATTTTCAAATAAAAACTTAAATTTCCGAGAAACTCAAATTTTTCAAGGAAGATCCCTAGAAATATATCAAAATGACTCTAATTAACTTACAGCAAACAACTGCAAAGACGACCAACATGATTAACAACATCGATATTTTAAAATTCATTTTTGTAAAAACTGGACTAATATATGCGAGCACAAATAACACCTAATCAGTTAAAAAGACTTGATTAAACTGAACTTCTGACTAAACTCTAAATTCACTTTATCTCGTACAAAATTTAGAGTTGAGATCAGTCAGGCATGACAATCAAGTAGTCTCTCTGGATTAATTTAAAGTTCTTTTATTTTTAAAAAATTTTTTTTTTGAAAATTGACATAAAATAAACTCACTCAAAATAGATCAACCCGCGTTTGATCCCGGAATTACATAAAATTCAATTTCGGAATGAAAAACTTACTGAAAATGCTCTCAGACCAGATCTATGAAAGTTCAATGTTTTTAATGATTTTTTAATTTAATTAAAATTTATTGATAAGTTAAAAAGCCAAAAAAAAATTCTAATCATGGGTTTGTATCAATATTCCGATAAAGACTGGTCTGTTGTTATTTGGTATCAAAACAACGCATCTGTGTACAGATAGGAGCCCCTATTGCGGTACAAAAACATCTGTTGCATTCTATTTCAAAATGTGTTCCTGGTTCACATTTCTTTTCAGTTTCTGCCTTAGCATAATTGCCTGGAATTTTGAAATTTTATTAAAAATAATTAGTATAATACCAAGCCGTTAATTTGCAGCTTGCAGTCAATAGTTAAAGATTTATACTAACATAAAATACCAAAAATGACAAGAAAAGCAATCACAAATTTAAACTTCATTTTTAAAAGGCAAACCGTTGATGAGCGATTGCTTGTTACACACTATTATAAGTTTTAAGTATGACTAAGTAAGTTCTTTCAAAAACCTCTTTTATATTTGTAATTTTAAACCAATTAAGTATTTTACGCTTAATTGTACAAATTTAATTGGTTTTCTTAAGGCTAGTTGCTGGGTTTCGTCAAAACTTAATTATTATTTTGTGAATTTTCAGGTTCTCAATGATTTAAATGAATTACAAAAATAGCAATAAAATGATCACTTTAGCTGGAACTAAAGCTCGAGTTTTTCCGAGTCAATTTCGAGTCGACTCGAGAAAATGAAGTCGACTTAAGAAAAGTTGAGTTGACTCGCTTTTGAGTCGAGTCAACTCGAGTCTACTCGAACCCTATCGAAAAATCGAATTGCTTATTGTTAACTTTGTCTTTCCTGAAATGTAACTCATCAAAAAATCAAGTTAATTTTTAACAAAAAATCAATTTTATTGACAATTTAAGAAATCAAAAAACTATAAACTAAATTTGAATTTCAAATTATATCTGATAATAATTAACATTTAGATGAAATCTTAATAGTCTTATGTTGTTTTAGGACAATTTTTTAATGTGCATATAGCATTCCCTTTTTCTGTACAGAAGCAAACATTGCAATCTCTTTGAAATTCTTTATTCCTTGGCTCACATTTCTCTTCAGCTTTAGCATCCTCTATTTTCTCTCCATTTTCGTCTGCTGCCTCAACAAAATTGCCTGAAATTTCAAATCTCAGTTTAAAAAAATTCTATCATATATTTTAAGCCGGTATAATGCGACTTGAATCTTCAAAAATCTAATCCAAATTTTAATATTTTTATAAAATCACTATTAGTAAAACCTTACAGAAGATTCCAAAAATGACAAGAAAAGTAATCACAAAATTCATCTTCATTTTTACAGGAAATACTGTTGTAAGCTTTTAGTAGTTTTAAGTATGACTAAGTAAACTTGTTTAAACTGACTCTATTATATTTTTGAATTCACAGTATTAGTTTTCTGGAAATAATTAAACTAGTTTATAATTATTAGCGTAGGAATGTTTTGGAATTGTGTTTAAAGAAAAAAAGCTGAAACAAATTTTTAAATTATTTATTATCAGCATGACTAATTTAATTGCTTTTTTGAAGCTTAATAGTTGCTTGAACCATAAAGTAAGCGAAGCTACTCATTAATAGCTAACGCTCAATCAAGACAAACTGCAATTCTCATCACCGTAAAATCTCCTAAAATTGTTTTAGAAAATAGACCAAAAAAGACTCATTTCCATTCAGTGCAGTGCCATAAAGCTTCAAATCATTCATTTCGTGTCTCTTTCCATCACTTTTATTTTCTTGTTTCTAGATCCATATCGAGTGAAATAATTTTCATGAATAAATTGGTAATATACCGCAGACTGAAAAAGGCACATCCTGTTACATCGAAAAGGCATTTATGCTTCCATGAGTAGCACGTTTTTGTGGTTGGCAAATTAAATCAACAACCCAAATATCTACGCATTTTGTAGATATTTATAGCTCCTGTTTTTACTATTTCTTGCACATTTTCATATGAGAAATTTCCTCTTTCTCACTAAAATCGGCGGTTGTGTGTAGGCACAGTAAAAGTGACAGATATCATATTGCATTATGATAGAACATAACACTCACAACCGAAAATACATATCAGTAAAATAAAAAAAGGCATCATCATCATTCGTACATCCAATACGTGCAATTACGAAATGACAATTTTCTGCCATATCGCTTCAAGCCAATGCACATCATTTTTGACACGTTTGCGGTGTGAATTCAATTTTTGTTTGCAATCACAAAGTCATAAAAAATATTTTTTTTTTATATATCCAAAATGTAAATTGAATATGCTATAAAATTGAATTTCGATGATATGCATGCATGTACGGATGATCTTGTACTTGAAATCGATACTTTATGAAGGATTCTAATAGGTTTTTGGTAAAATTTAAGGGATTCGAGTGATGACGAATTATATCGTCTATTAAATCATATTGCTGGGATTTTTGGCTATGCTTTGTGCAATTTTTGATGAAGATTTGGTGTGAATGTGCATTGCTTTATGAAAATGTGACAATATTATTTTTGTGTAGTGATCTTGAGTTAAATACACAACTCGTCTTTCGTTAGCATTTACTCGAAATATGGTCGGTTGTAAGAGGAAGACGGTGGGATGTGTGAAAATTTCAAAAACAAATAAAAAACTTTGACATTAAATTTCTTAAAAAGTTTCTTGATTCACCTCTGTCTGCAAATGAAACTCGCAATTTTAAGCAAGGTATGGAAACTATCGCAAATATCCCCAAAAAAATTCTGAGCATGTATGCTTTAAAATTAAGGTAAAGGTTCTATTAAGGTTCTAAAATTATATATCCAATACACTAAGGATTCCTAGCGATATTTTTATTATCGTGCATCCAGGCTCAAGAATTATTTTAAATATTTTTGGGATATTCGGGGTAGTTTTCAAGCTTTGATTCTAAGTTTAAAGCCTTAAAAACATTAAAGGTTTTTAAAAATATTTTGCAGACATGACAAATGATTTGTGTATCTATTGAAAGTGTTTCACTAATTATGAAGCAGCTGTACGTTTTCTCTAAATCCTCCCAAAATAAAGAGATAATTTTTATATCCCCATCAAAGCTCAAAACTTAATTTAAAATAATTTCCATACCACATTGAAAATAAAATGCCTTAAAGTTCACAGTTCTCATAATTTTATTAAATTCTCCATTTTCATAATGTCGCACAATAATGTCATTTTATTCAATTTTCGGAATTCGATTGAATAAAAGAAAAGTTTTTCAATAAAAATAAATTTTTAATGATTTCAATATAAAGTCGAACTAAAAATTAATATCATTGAATTTATTCAATTTCTTGTTCATTCCCACTTTGAATATAGAAGTTTTTTGTCGAGATTTTCTTATAAACTTCAATTTAAAAAGGAGGATAGTTAAGTATCTGTCGTAATGATGTCATGAAAATATTAAAATCGAAGATTAAAATGCAAGGTTGAGGTACTTTCTAGGGTGTCAGTGGGTTCAAATTCCTTCAACAAGGATACTATGTAATTCTTACTAGACTGAGGCATGTTGACATTGATAGTACACCATAGTAGCTTATATTATTGTGACAATGCTATTTCAATGAACCGTAACGTTAAAGTATTACAAAAATAGCAATTTTTAGACAAATATGCTTCAAATCCACCTCATACCAATAACCTTTTCACATTTAGCGAAATATCCAGTTAACTGTAAGAATCTTGACCACCAAACTCGGTCACACACATAAATTCATGACTTACATCCTTAAGCAAGACCATTAAATCCTACCCCATCTTCATGCTCTTTTTCCTATCGCATTGCAAAAATTCAACATTAAAATTTCTTAATTTATGCATTTTTCCAATTTCTTTTTCTCATTTCTCTATCACTACTTTTCAAATTCCAATTATATTCTTCGTGTTCGAATTGTTATTACAGAGGATTAACTTAGAATATAAACTTTATTGTTTGGCATTTGTTCAAATACTGCTGCAACTAGAAATGTTCATCTCTTTTTATATTTTTCATTTTAACTCATAAAAAATGATTGTTAAAGTTTTTCGAGTAGAACTAAATTTTTTTTCAACTGATTCTATTGCTACTCAACTTTAATCGAAATTACAATGCAATCACATGATTTCATTGTTATCGGATTGTTTTTTAACAAGTTTATTTTAAGTTTGAGTTCATAAAATTGTCGATAAAGGTGATGTTGACTTTTGGTGTGATAAGAAGTGGATATAGCGTCAAGGATAACAGCATGATGGGAAATTTATGGATCAACTTGAATAAATTAATGAAAAGTTCTTGCCTTGAAAGCAATGGTAAAATTCCTATGATGTTGTTTTCCCCCTTAATTTGTAGATTTATTTGAATGAATAATGGACTTAAGCTACAAAAACTACTCAATTTATTTAAAAATAACTAGTATTGTAGCGCTGTAACTAAGCTTTCTCGATTTCTCGGTCTCGACAAATTCTCGAGACCGAGACCGAGACCGAGACTTCCCGGGAATTCCCGGGAAGTCTCGACTTTAAAAACTACTTAAAATTTCGCTGAAAGTAATTAAAAAACACTTAGAACATGTAGATTACGTCTATTTGTTATTGAACTTCTGGATATATTCCTTGTTATGCGATCAGTCAAACTAATTTTATTGTCTTAATACTATTATAAAATATAAAAGAAATACGAAATACGTAATGATAAAAGAAAAGCATAATGATAAGAAAGTGTGTCCCTATTAAAAC